TGAACTCAGTGTAGGATCCATCAGAATGAAAAACTTGAATTTCTAGTATTTTTGAATTTTTTTAAAAAAATTTGATTGATTAAAATATTTAATTGACTATTCTATTTAATTTATAAGACTTTTATTTTAATATTAATTATAAATAAAAAAAAAAAACTCTCTTCCAAACCCTAATTTAAATAACTCTCTCCCAAACCCTAAGTTGTTATCATAACCGTCGTCCCTCTCAAAACTCTCTCCCAAAACTTTCCTTCATTTCCGTCTTTTATCTCCAGATTTTGCCATCCACCGCAGCCGTAGCTACACCGTACTCCAAAGTCTCATCCTGCACCGTTCTCATTCAAAACACTGGTAAGATTTATTTACACTTTATCTCTTTGTTCTTTTTTTTAAAATTTATTTTAGATTATCTCCAACATATATTTGCAGATCCGCAGGCGCTCCATCGATCCATACTGCACGCCACTCCACCCCTCACGGTTTTGAAGCTCTATTGCTGTTGTTTGATGGAATTACAGGTAATTTTTTTTTTTGTTTTTTAATCTTAATCTATTTTCACACATATAACAAAAATTGAGTTTATACTTTGCTCTTCTCATTCTTTGTTTTTAAGATTTATTTTTTGTTATTCTCTTTATTTCTTTCTTTTTTAATGTAGATCTACTTCCACACATGTAAAAAAAATGAGTTTATACAATATTTTTTTGTTCTTTTCATTCTTTGTTTTTCTTTATTTTTTTCTTTGAGCTTTTCTCTGGCCGTGCTAAAATATGTCATTGTCCATTTTTACCTTAAATTGTGATGTTCAACCCTGTTGTGTTGTGTGTTGTGTTGTGCAGAACTACAGATGAATGGTGCCCTATTGTTTAATTGTGGATGTACGGGAAAAATATATTCATTTTTTAAAATATAAAACTATAATTATAATGTAATTAAAAATAGATTGAGTATCAATAATTTTCTTAGAAAAAAATTAATACTTTTTATATAATTAAATATGTTTATGTTATATAATTTGATTCTAATATTATCTATTTTGTTATAAATATTTTAATATAGATACAAAAGAGTAAATAAATTAAATTATGTATTAATTAAATAATACATTATAAATATAAATAAAAATAATGATAAGTTGTTAAAGAAGTTATAAATTTTTTTATAATTATTTTTTTTTTTTGAAAAGTTGAACACTTTATTTTTATTTTTAAAAATACAAGTTTCATATCGAAGATGCAAAATTTTTTCTTTTTTAATAATAATCACTTATTAAAAAGTTCTAATAATTAATTTTAATTCTAATTCATTTTAAAGTTGAGAAACTCTAATTCATTTTTATAATAATTTGATTCTAATAATTATAATCTATTTTGTTATAAATATTTTAATATAGATACAAAAGAGTAAATAAATTAAATTATGTATTAATTAAACAATACATTATAAATATAAATAAAAATAATGATAAATTGTTAAAGAAGATATACGTTTTTCTATAATCATAAAAGTTGAACACTTTATATTTATTTTTAAAATACAAGTCTCATGTTGAAGATGCGGAGTTTTTTTTTTATATATATAATAATTACTTATTAGAAAGTTATAATAATTAATTTTAATTCTAATTCATTTTAAAGTTGAGAAATTCTAATTCATTTTTATAATAATTTGATTCTAATAATTATATTATCTATTTTGTTATAAATATTTTAATATTGATACAAAAGAGTAAATAAATTAAATTATGTATTAATTAAACACTACATTATAAATATAAATAAAAATAATGATAAATTGTTAAAGAAGATATATGTTTTTCTATAATCATTATTTTTTCTGAAAAATTGAACACTTTATTTTTATTTTTAAAAATACAAGTCTCATGTTGAAGATGCAGAAGTTTTTTTATATAATAATTAATTACTGAAAAGTTATAATAATTATTTTTTATAAGTTTTAAATACAAGGAGTTGCAGAGTTTTTCTTTAAACATCTCATTTTAACTTTTTATTTTCATTTTTGTTTCGGTATTTCTGTCTTTATCTTCTATGCTTCTGCATTATCTTATTTTTACTAAAAAAAAATCTCTAGTTCTCACATATTTTTCTACATCTCACCATGTCATACAATTCTTACGTAACATCAGACACCTTATCTTCTTCTCTTATCTAAAATCATTCTCTACACAGTGTTCCGGCATAATTTTACATTCCAAAGGTTTACATTTATAATTATATTAGTGTTTGATTATTAGACTATTTGGACAATAATCATAGTCCTTAAATTTGTTCTTATGAAGTTTTTTTTTTTTTTTTTTTACATTTAATATTATTTAAACATCTCATTTTAATTTTTCACATTTATTTATGTTTCATGCTTTGTCTTCATCTTCTCTTCTGCATTCTCTTCTTTATACTAAAAAAATTCTAATTCTCACCTATTTTTCTTTTATACTTGAATGACACTACATCTCACAATGTCATACAGTTCTTACATAACATCAGACACTTCTTTTCTTCTCTTATCTAAAATTATCCTGTACATAGGTTCCTGCACAATCAATTGTTAATATTTTTTAATATTTTTTTAGTTGGTTTACTTTATTTTTATTTTGACATTTTTATGTTTAATATTTTTATTTTCTCAGGTAGCGCTTGACTATCACGAAGAGGCGTGAACATAATTTCACCTTTCAAGGTTTACATTTATGATTATATTAGTGTTCGATTATTAGACTATTTGAACAATAATCATAGTCCTTAATTTTGTTCATACGAAGTATTTATGATTACTTAATTTTTGCAAGTTGCAGTGACATTTGAGATTTGAATAGTATTGTTTAAGCCGGACATTATTTTTGTACCGAAGGTTTTTTGTTATTTTTTTTATTTTAATATTTTTACGACTTTGCAATTATTTATATTTACATATTCTCTGGATCAATGGATGAATCAGTACAATAGGCATTAATCATAAATGCACGATGTTTGAAAATAGTTTTCTTTCATTTCGTAAAATATATTTGTGGTTTTATATTTTTTATTGGCATCATCATGTTGGCAATATTTGTGCTTTTGAAAGTGGTGGATATGTTATTATAAAATTAGTTGATTTTTTTTTAATGAATAATATGTCACTTACAAATATGAAATATATATATTTTTGGTACCCACTTATGCACAAAAATCTTTGTTGTTGAAAGTTGTGATAAAATATTTAGGAATAATATATTTAAATATAAGTATAGAATTTAAGTACAAAAGACAAATATAAAGAACTCTATATAATTCTATAAGGAGAATTTGTTTAAAAAATTAATTATTAGTTTATTCTTTAAATTATTACCATTTTTTTCAAAGTATAATTTACTAATATCAATTTATTTTGTCCAAAAACAGAATATATTTCATAAAATTAGTGGAGTGTTTTTAATGAAATTTATTCTTACAAAGATGAGATATATTTTATTTTTTTTTATCCACTTATGCAAATTATTTCGGTGTTTCAATTAAAAGTAGATTGGTGCGTAGAATATGCACACATTACAAAACGATCTCCATAATTATAACTCTTTTATTTTTTTTATTTCTTGGCCTTTAAAATGTGATGGTAATTTATAAAAATGATTTTTATTTAAATTTTATGATTTATTAATATCTGTTATTGCGTGTGTACTATTTTGTATAGCTTATTTTTATTTTTTATTTTTACTTTTACTTATATTTGTATATAATTATGTTACAATATATTCGACTTAATTTCACCACCGCGCGTACGGAATTCACACTAGTTCTAAGTTATGAATCAGCATGACCAATGGAGGGAGGAAGGAAGGATGGTAGTGGTGGTGGCCATACCGATACGGCCACGGCGGACCACATGAACTCTGTGCATTGGTGGAATGCTACTGAATGCAGCCCACGCGGAGTCCTTCCTTGGCAAGCCCCGCCCCCACCACACGCCCCCTTTTTCCCAACACGCTTTTACCCTCTATATATATGCCCGAGCCACATGCCCCCTCCCTCCCTCACACAAGGTACCGCCGACGTTGACAACTCCACTCCATTCTCGGGCAGTTCAAAAGGGTGGGGGCCGATGCCCGATGCCCTGGACCATTTTTCTCTAAAGCATTCTATTCTATGTATGTCATCTCTATGGTATCGTATCGTATCTATCGCATGCTTTAATTTCCACCATTTCCCTTTTACTTTGCTTTATTGCTCCTATGCTTAACCATACAAGCAAAACAACACAAAAGGTTGTCCATCCATTTTCCAATTGTTTTTTATAATCGTGTGCCAACAATGTGCTTTGTTTCCTGTCTGTATCATGGATTTGAGAAGGTGAATGAATGTGCTAGTTTCCTTATGTATTTGAATAGATGAACGGACAGTAAAAATGTAGATCGAAATATATTTCATTGGACAACATGTGATTGCTCTTCGAATAAACCCTCAATCGAGCGCAGTGGCCAGAAAAGGCACCCTACACAAGATTATCTTAAAATTTGAAATACGGTTCTCTGCAGTAAATAGGGAGAAAGTAAATAATGGCACTGTCCATGTATCTGGCAAGAATTTAGTCACCTTTTAATCCATTTTGTTCCTGCCCAACTTATATATATATATATATTTCTATATATATATCTATCAAGAATTCATGGTCACATTCACCATCAATGATAGATGGGGGTAGGGCAGCCAGCTTCTTGTTTTTATGGTAGGGGGCAAAATGGAGGAATGCTGAATTTATACTCATGAGCTATATATGGTTATTTGCATTCATATGGAGCATAGCAACAATGGAAATGATTATAGAATGACACTGGACAATGAGATTCCAACTCTGCAGAAATTGACTGTACGTACTGACCATATTTAATAATACTCAAAGTGCAGGACTGTTGGGATCCTGGTCCCATTGGGTTTTTTGAATTTTCTGAGGAGGATCACTTTGAACATTCAATCACAGGTAATGATAGTGATACTTCCCACAATCTCAAGAATCTTTATGGATGCGACATCAATTAGAGGCTCTTATTTAATTTTCTTGTCCTTTATTATTATTATTATTATTATTATTATATAGTCTCCGGCAAGGATGTATGCATAGTCTCCTACTACCAGTATATATATAAACAACGCTAGATTCCATTGTGCTATTACACCAACCCTGAAAGCCCCACGTGGTTTCTTCCACCTTCAAGTCTGATCCAATTCTGGATATGCCTTAATGCTACAGTAGAATATGTGCACTTTTTTCCCTGTCCTTGCAGGTGTGTCTTGTCCTTTATGAATTTTTCTGTTTATCACCCAAATTTCATTGGATTATTATTTCCATTCTTTATTCCATCTGTGTATTTTTGTGCTGGGATGTTTTCTACTGAGAAGAATATAGATTAGCCTTGTAGTTTTATTGCTCTTGTTGTGTTTACAAGTGAATTGAGGTTGTGGTTTGTCCTCCTTTCTCTGGACTCAGGAATGGATGTCAATGTTAAGTTAGTCGACGCATCATTTTGCCTAGTGTTTGTGGTATGGCTTCTTTGGAATGTCTTCAAGGAGAGACTGGAACACAGTCATCTCAACAATAGTAACTCGTTGCCAGGAGGAAGACGAGAGCCATCCCTCTTCTGCAAGATTGCTGTTATATTGAATTTCACAATCTGTTTATCTTACTTTGGTGTCTGTCTCCTTGAGTATTGGAGATCAGGGCCAGGTATGATAAATGATATTTTCTCTGCCACAGCTTGGTGTTTTGCTGGTGCTGTTGCAGCTTTCTCAGTAGGCAGTGTACCTGGCAGATGGCCGTTGGTTCTTATACTCTGGTGGTTTTTCTCATGCATGTGTGATTTGTTCGTAGTAACCGTCTACATCCTCCATGGCTTTAAACTTATAAGTGTTCCCTCCTTTTTTCCTGGAGCTAATATGATTGATCTAGCTTCTCTACCATTGTTGGCTCTGCTGTGTTTCAATGCTGTACAATGTAATACTTTCAACAGGATGAACAACTTTACAGAGCCGTTACTTTCAAGTCAGTGGGAGAATCATTCAGGGCTCAACAGTGATCCCTTTTCCGGTGCTGGAATCTGGAGTCAGCTGACGTTCAGATGGCTTAATCCTCTCTTTGAAAAGGGTCACTGTGAAAAGCTCAAACTGGAAGATGTACCACCAATTCCTCGATCAGAAACTGCTGATGAAGCTTCATTCTTGCTGGAGGAGTCTCTTCGAAAGCAGAAAACTCAGATCATCTCTCTGCCAAATGCCATACTCAAAGCCATATGGATGCCGCTAGCTGTTAATGCAGTATTTGCAGGTAATTCTGTAGGTCTCTTGAGAGTAACTGTTTAGCGCTACAGCATAACCAATTACCCGCCTGGTGGACTACGGAGAAGTTTATCATATGCACATGAGTAATTTGGCTGCAATCTGTTTTCAAAATAGTTATTAATAATTGGATCACATGTTGTAAATGAAATGATATAGTCTTTGAGATGTTTATTCGGTGTTATTTCCAGGTGTCAATATGATGGCTTCGTATGTTGGCCCACTGCTGATCACAAGCTTCGTGAATTACTTATCAACAGAGGATGTAGATGTAAAATGGTGCAATGGCCTGGTTCTCGCAATGATGTTCTTCACAGCAAAGACTGTGGAGTCACTATCTCAGAGGTTATGGTATTTTGGTGCTCGTCGTATTGGAATCCGAGTCAGGGCAGCTTTGATGGCTTTGATATACAAAAAATCTCTTTCGATTAAGTATGGTGGCACAAGCGGTGGCAAAATTATTAATTACATCAACGTTGATGTTGAGAGGATCAGTGACTTTTTCTGGTACTTCCATGGAATTTGGTTGCTTCCCGTGCAGGTCATTTTTGCGTTAGTCATCCTGTACACAAATTTAGGTGCTGCCCCCTCCATCGCCGCTCTCTGCACCACAATATTCGTGATGATAAGCAACACCCCTCTTGCAAATATGCAGGAACGGCTTCATTCCAAGATAATGGAAGCTAAAGATTCACGGATAAAAGCTACTTCAGAGACCTTAAAGGGCATGAGGGTTCTGAAGCTGCACTCATGGGAATCAATGTTCTTGCAAAAGCTGCTCCAGCTTCGGGACATTGAACGTTGTTGGCTTACAAAATACCTCTATACAAGCTCAGCAGTGGCTTTCCTCTTTTGGGCTTCTCCAACATTAGTTTCGGTTGTCACTTTTGGTGTCTGTGTTGTGCTGGGGACTCCATTAACATCAGGCACAGTCCTTTCGGCTCTAGCCACTTTCCGGATTCTTCAAGAACCTATCTACAACCTCCCAGAGCTTATTTCCATGATTGCTCAAACTAAAGTGTCAGTTGATCGAGTTCAGAGTTTCACTATGGAGGAAGATCAGAAGAGAGTAATGCATTATCATACTCCCGGTACACCAGGTGTTGCCATTGAGATTGAACCTGGAGAATTTGTATGGCCGAGTAAGGATGCAAAAAGATCGACTATTAAGATCACTGAGAAGCTCAAAATTGCGAAAGGGAGCAAGGTGGCTATCTGTGGTTCTGTTGGCTCTGGTAAAACAAGTTTTCTCTGTGGCATACTTGGGGAGATACCTAGAATATCGGGGCCGAGTATCAAGACTAATGGATCAAAGGCATTTGTGCCACAAAGTGCTTGGATACAAACTGGAACCATTAGGGAGAATGTCCTGTTTGGTAAGGAGATGGATAGAGATTATTATGAAAATGTGGTGGAAGCTTGCGCACTGAACCATGATTTTGAGATGTGGGCTAATGGAGATCTATGTGTGGTCGGAGAGAGGGGTATGAACCTAAGTGGGGGACAGAAACAAAGGATCCAAATGGCGAGGGCGATTTATAGCAATTCAGATATTTTTTTGCTGGATGATCCTTTCAGTGCTGTAGATGCTCATACTGGGGCTCATATGTTCAAGGCAAGCAATATCTTTTACGTGCATTCATTTCGATAAACTAAAACTTCAAAATTCATTTGCATGACTGATTTGATTTACTTCTTGCCTCACTCACTCATTATATGCAGAAATGCCTGCTGGAACTCTTGCATAGCAAGACTGTCGTATATGTTACTCATCAGTTGGAATTTTTGAATGCTTCTGACCTTGTCTTGGTAAGTCAAACCAAGAAACAGCAACTAAAGTGGCTGATGATTTGTTGCTTGTCCGAGCGTACTGTTGTTTGATACAATTGATGCCATATTATTCTGTACAGGTTATGAAAGATGGAAGGATTGTCGAGTCAGGTAAGTATCTTGATCTAATTTCAAATGCTGATGGGGAACTCATAAGACAAATGGCAGCTCATGGTAGTGCTTTAAATCAAGTTAACCGACCAAAGTGTGCTGGCTTGCCTAAGAGCTGCTGCCGCCACCAGTCTCTCCAAACAGAAGTAACTGAAGTGAAATTCATTGACCTCAGCAGGAGCAGCAGAGTAATCTCGGATCAAAGTGTGCATGAAGAAATGTTAAGCGGGCGCGTAAAATGGGATGTCTATGCAACTTTTGTAACCTCTGCTTACAAAGGAGCTCTTGTTCCTATTACCCTCCTGTGTCAAGTTTTCTTCCAGGTGCTGCAAATGGCGAGCAGCTACTGGATTGCTTGGGGGTCTGAAAAGGAAGACAGCATTACAAAAAAGCAATTGATTGAGATATTCGCCGTGCTTTCTTGCTCAAGCTCCTTGTTTATTTTGGGAAGAGCTGTCCTGCTTTCGACCATTGCTATTGAGACTGCTCAGCGACTGTTCCTAGGAATGATCACATCAATCTTCCGGGCACCTCTATCTTTCTTTGACTCCACGCCTTCAAGTAGAATCCTGAATCGGGTCAGTAGAATAGAATCCTTATGAGTCAAATTGTGTTTCCCTGATAAAGTGTCTGAAACATTTCTATTGTCAGTCCTCCACAGACCAGAGCGTAGTCGACACAGATATTCCATACAGGTTAGCTGGACTGGCATTTGCGCTTATTCAGCTGTTGAGCATCGTTGCGCTCATGTCTCATGTCGCCTGGCAGGTCTTGTTCCTCTTCCTTATTGTCTTTGCCCTCTCCATCTGGTATCAGGTAAAGAATATTACAATGGCAACTCTGCAAAATTGTGAGAATTCAGATTCACATAATAACCCAAATATATATATATATATATATATATATAAATATATGTTTTGAATGCAGGCATACTACATTGCCACTGCAAGAGAATTGATGCGTATGGTTCCGATTCAGCAGGCCCCGATTCTTCATCACTTCTCAGAATCAATCTCCGGAGCAGCAATCATAAGAAGCTTCAATCAGGAAGACCGCTTTATGAGCAAGAATGAGCAGCTCATTGATGATTACTCTCAAGTTGCCTTTTACAACTCGGCCGCAATGGAATGGCTCTCCATAAGGATCAACTTTCTGTTCAATCTCGTGTTTCTCCTCCTCCTAATTATCCTCGTCTCCCTTCCTAGATACGTCATTGATCCCAGTAAGCACTCATCTCCTTGAGCTTTGCCTTTCTGATTCAACGGCATGTGAAAAGGAACTATTGTTGGCATACTTGTAGGCCTGGCCGGACTGGCTGCCACGTACGGACTAAACCTGAATGTACTCCAAGCATGGGTGATATGGAACATGTGCAATGTCGAAAACAAAATGATATGTGTGGAGAGGATTCTTCAGTTCACAGGCGGCGGCATACCAAGTGAAGCTCCACTTCTGGTTGAAGGTTACAGACCAGACGCAGAATGGCCAGCCAGTGGAAGGATTGAAATCGAAAATCTGCAAGTACAGTACAATCCTGATCTTCCAAAAGTTCTTAAAGGAGTGAGTTGCACGTTCCCAGGAAGAAACAAGATTGGAATTGTGGGAAGAACTGGAAGTGGGAAGTCCACACTTATCCAGGCCCTGTTTAGAGTGGTGGAGCCTTCAGAAGGACGAATAGTGATCGACGGGACTGATATTTCTAAGATTGGGTTGCAAGATTTAAGGTCCAGGCTGAGTATAATCCCACAAGACCCCATCTTGTTTCAGGGTACGTTGAGAGCGAATCTTGATCCTCTACAAGAGCATTCTGATCACGACATATGGGAGGTTTTATGCAAATGCCATATTGCTGAAAACGTGAAACAAGACGAAAGGCTGCTGGATTCGCCAGGTTATATATATAATTAAATAAATTAGTTTCTCATACATCAATCATCCTCCATTTATTCTGTACAAAAGAAATAGCATGTATGCAGTTAGTTAGTTAGTTAGTTAAAAAGAGACAGAGACTGATAAACTAAGAGACAGAGACTGATAAACTTAAATCCGCGAATGCATGCATGCATGCATCTACTGCAGTTGCCGAAGATGGGGAAAATTGGAGCGTTGGGCAAAGGCAGCTTGTTTGCTTAGCTCGGGTGCTCTTACAAAGAAGACGGATATTGGTGCTGGATGAGGCCACGGCTTCGGTGGACACGGCCACAGATAACCTGATTCAGAAGACTATCAGAGACGAAACAAGTGGATGCACTGTCATAACAGTCGCTCATCGTATACCTACAGTGGTCGACAATGACCTTGTTCTGGTTCTTGGCGAAGGTACGTAATTAATTTTTAATTAATAGCTCTATCCTATATATATCAACTAGCAACTCTCAACTCAAAAATACAAATAAAAAAAATGATATGGTATGATATGATATGATATAATATGATATATATTCTTTATATTCATTGTTGTTACTCGATCGATCACAGGGAAGGTTGTAGAGTACGACTCCCCAGTTCGGTTGCTGAAAGATAGTAACTCGGCCTTCGCGGGCTTGGTGATGGAATTCTTGCAAAGGTCATCATCATCATCATCATCAACATCTACCAAGGATGCATACCAATAGCAGCAGCAGATTATTCCTTTCCATAATTCCATTGCATTGCAATCCTCTTCCAACAACAGGACTTGAAGAAATTAATTATTAAGGTGGGTGGAGTAGATAAAATTGAATTTGATCTTATTTAGGGATTTGAATATAATAGATTCACAGATTTTGCAGTTTAGCAATCTCTTCAGCAATGTGAATATGAATGTTAATGTGAATTTGAATCTGAATCTGAATCAGAATCAGAATTTGCGGTTGGTCTTATATCGCCCATTCTCAAGCAAAGCAGTGTAATTTTAAAAATAGAGCAAATTTGATGCCATTTTTCAAAACCACATGTGCATCTTATCTTATTATCTCATGTAATTTTGCCAATGGCTGTCTACCAACTACTCAGAGGCGCTCCCTCCCTCCCAGCCCTGGTAAACCGACATGCTAACAAACTATATGTGGCCACGTATTTGCGTGTGACTGACCCATGATCTTAATTAGCTTAGCTTCGTTTTGATCGATTGATTCGTGAACACAAACAACTCTTGAGTTGAGTTGTTTCTCTGTGACCATCCCATCCCATCCCCTTCCCAAACTCAACCACCTTCTAATATATAGTTCCATTGATTACTGCTCATCAGAAGATCTACACAACAACCATTAGTAGTATGCATATGCTTGCTGTTAAATCACCCAAAGCATTCAACCAACCATATATGATAATGCACAGAAAGAAAGAAAGAATGAATCAATCAATCAATGGGAGGGGACTAGTAGAGTGATAATTCATTCCTTCCTTCCTTCCTTCTGAGTTTGTTTGTACATTGACAAGTAATTTTTTACATGGTCTTATTTTCACTATCCAGGTAAACAAAGAAAGAGAGAGAGAGAGAGAGAGAGAGAATCAAGTCAGTTTTTTCAAGGTGGCTGTTGCTGCTAAATCAATGGATTCGTGGCGTCGTCGTCTGTACAGCAGCAGCAGCAGGTCAATCCAGAGATTGAGAATCCAGAGCCAGCTGACCCCAATCCCCACTATGGTTACAACAAGCCAAGACATCCAGCCCCATCTTGGAATTGGAATTGGAACTGGAATCATGACGAGCTTGTAGACGAAGGCGGGCGCAAGAATCCCCCTGACCGCCGTGTAGTAAGTGTAGAAGATGGGCGACAAGATGTGGAAGATGGCTGCAGCCTTGTGGGAGTGAGCCTTCCTATAGCGGGCAAGGCTCCATGTGTTCTGGCAGATTGTAGTCATCTCAGCGATAACCAGGATGCCCAGAATGGCCACAGCCCCGTGCCCGAACACATAGCGGCACGTGATGAGCACGTAGAGCGTGGCCAGGTGGTGTGCGATGAAGAGCACCTCACTGGGGACGAACACTATGTAGTGCAAGAGATCCATCAGGAAGTAGGCGGTGCTGTATTCGAGCACCACATCCTGGAAGCCCGTGTTGGGGGAGTTCAATAAATGGAATTGGAAAAATAATGGAAATTCAGATTCAGATTCAAATTCAAATTCAAACTGAGGATTACAGCTCGGCGAGAGCGCGAGCAGGGCCAGGAGGAGCGCAGGGGTGCCGTGAGCAAGCGACATGAGGCTGCTGGAAGCCAAAGGCCTCGAAATCTTGCCCCAATTCCTGAACAGGATGGAGTATCCCAAGATGTATGTGGAGAGGAACCACAGACTGAATAAACAAGGAAGAAGAAGAGCTTCTGAGCCGTGGAAGTGGAAAAAGAAGAAGGAGAATAGCTTTGTGATCTCCATGGGACTACGACTGCTACTATGACTATGGAGTACGGAGCATGAGGAGGAGGGGGAGATCTAGCTTTGACTGCAGAAAGGAAGATGGAATTGGATTAAACAACAAGAGGAGGGAAGCGAATCAGGGAATTATTAGGGAATCGCGGGTGCCTAATTCAATCTAATCTAATCTAATCTAGTCAATCTCTAAAACCACACACCCACAGAGAGGATAGGCCACAAGTACAGGAATTTCCGGATTATGACGATGACGACGACGATGATGTAAAGCAAGCAAGCCAGCCGTAAAGGTCAGCTCTGCCTGTTGTGGACCCCACTGCACCATGCTTAGCTTTGCTTTGTTGTACTGCCTGCCTCTCCAGTACTTGCTGGAAAATTCTCTATTCTAATTCTTTTTTTTTATTTCTTTCATTCAAACAAATCAAATCATGACCTTAGGAAGAAAGAGAATATAAGTAACCTAATTTAAATTTTATGTAGTATCTTTACGGACAATTAGATTAAAATCCTTATGGGTAATATTAATTCGAGATTCAGTCTATAATTTTAATTTTTTTTATCTTTGTTTGCACTTTTTTATTTTTTTTCATTATCACCCCTCTCTTCCTCTATTTTTTGTATTATCTCATTCTTTGGTTGTTTTTCTTCGTGCAAAATTCTCCTAAAACCGTTGAGCCTTCTCCACTGAAGCCGGAAGCAACCTCTCGTCCGATTGTCCAGTTTCCAACCGTGTGAAAGATTCATTTCTCATCTCTTCTCCCATCGTCCGATGGGTTTTTCGCTCCATTTTCTCACGGTTCGGCCGGTTCTCTGTCCCGTCGAATCGGTTTTCTGTCTTGGAGGTCACGCAGTTCGATCGGAGGAATTTCAAGGGTTATCTCGAAATTGACATGTGACAGTTTAATTGGAGAAATCCCAAGGTTAATATTTGTATCAATAGTGTTTGGATTAGTAAGAAAATTGCTAGTTTCAGAAAAATATTGTTGCGTGTTAAACTAGTAGGAATTTATAAATCAAGTATGAGTTTTGTGAAATGGATAATTTTTGGGTGATTTTGATAATGAATTTTTTTGTTATCGGGTATTTTTGTTCCTATTTTGAGAAAGAGGTCGTAATTGTTATTTTGTAAACTGAATAATTTGTTGCTATTGGGGACTACTACATTACTAGAATTCCATAAGAATATATGATTTTAGATAGTTTATTTTGTTTTGGATTCATACTATGTATATTAGTGAAATAAATATTTAAATGGTGCACTTTATGTATTCGATAAAATGTCCCAAAAAAGGTTTGTCCTAATGTCAAGAAATTTTATAAATGATTGTTTAGATGTTGGGTTGTCATTTCTCTTTTAAAAAATATATATATGCTATTTGAAGATTCCAACCAACCGTTATACACTCAATGTCATAATATTTATTGATGATCATGTTAGATTGATTGTGAGTTTTTTATTTTGTTTTGATTGTTTAAACTAGGTCATGTTCTTTGTGTGTGAGATGTGACATGTTTTTTTATAGGCTTTTAGTACATAAAATTTTCAAGACTGAAAATACTTTTTGAGCTCTTAAGTTGATCAATGTAATACAAAATAAAGATGTGCCAACAAACATTCATACTCTAAACTTAGTCATTTACAATTTGTGTAATGATAAAATTATCGATGTAGTATTCAAAAAAATTTATGATGTGTCTATGAACTATGCATTTCCAAATATTTTCACCTACAATTATTTAGTTTTTGGATTATGTGAGTTGATATTTAGAGTTCCTATACGCATTAGAGTATAATGGTTATCTCTTTATAGTAATTGCTACAATAATGTGATGATTGAATTATGCATATAGAATAATTTTGATGATTTGTACTATGTTTAACAATATTCATTATAAGAGCTTGGAACAATATATTGTATCATATTGATACAAAGATATGGCAATCATGGCTTGTATATGTCGTGGCAAGTATCTTGAGAAGGTTTCATAGTTTCTAGTAATTCTTAATGAATCTTCTCTCTATTATCAAAAATGATTTTACCTTAAGTTTGCTTAAGTCTCCATATTTTGGGTTGCAGGGTGGATTAGTTGAAGCTGGATCGATATGTTGATTTGTACTAATTGTAAAATTGGATGGAAGAAAGTCATTTTCATTTTTTGCAATGAGACCCCTTGATCTAACAACAAAAGCCTGGTTGTAGGTGAATATACAATAACAAGAGTCTGGTTGTATAGAATTATAATTGTAACTCGGATGTACTATAGTATATAAACATGAACAAGGGGTATATGACAATCCTATTTTATGTATAATAATTTGATGACATAGGTTTCTGGAAATTTAACAGAGGCATACAAATTATTTGGGGGGCATGTAGTTGATGTGTCAAAGCACATTGGTGTGATGACGTATTACCACCCTAACCATTTCAATATAATCTTGATACTTAATTATGAAAATAGGAGGAAGTACTTGTCATATTGTGTTACATCCCTTAAATCCATATGCAAATGATTGGAAACTCTTATGATATGTCGGAATCTATCACTGATACTTTTGATTATTTTCTAAATCCTCACAAGAATTTATTAAAAGTATGTAGGTACCTAAAAGCGGAGTTCAGGTACATATGTTGGAAAAAAGTAGTACATTAAAATAAAAATAGGGTACATCAGAGACATGATGGAGTACTTGGTTTTTCAACCGAATTATCATTTTATAAAATGCTATTAAATAGTTTTTACTTGAGTCTGTGAATATCTAATAGGTTGTATTGAAAGACCATAAAATATGTAACGCTATTCGTATTAAAAAGTTACTTCAAAATTTTTTAATTAATATAAATATTAAAATTATAAATTTTCTACACATTAGATTTATTAAATATTCTCTCTGTCCTGACTAAGTATGCACTTTTGCTTGAGCACGAAAAATAAAACATAATAATATTTTTGTATAAAAGTGATGTAGGTAAATAGTAAAATAAAAGTATTATAAGATATTTATGAAAAAATGATAAAAAAAAAAGATGATGTCATAAGTAGGGATGAGCAAAATATCCAAACCGAACCATCAAATTGCTAAATCGAAAAGAGTTTTTCGTTAATCAAGCAAATTTAGTTCCATATGGAAAGGATTATGAATCTTTGTTCTCAAAGAAAATTATCGAGATATATAACATTAGTTTTAGGAGTGTATATATACACATTCAAAAAGATATTATCCGTAAAGAAGTAAATATTTTTTAATTTAGTTTAGTTGCTACATGAAAGAATGCAATAGTTACACAGAAAGTATAATTTTGTACATCAAGCCAAATGGGGGTACATCGGAGCCGCTCTGGAGTACTCGTTTGCTTAGCCGAGTCATGCCCTATGCAAATATACTCCTGACCGAATATTATTGTGTGTGCTACAATGTGGACTACTTTTAATGATTTTCAATTCGTGGCAGCAATAATGTACTCTAACAACCCAACATAATTTAATTTAGTCATTTATGACTTGTTTAGACATCTAGAAATGGAGGTTGGACTATGATTTTACATATATCATACAAGTCATTTTTGACTTATTTATCCATCTATAGTAAATGTGTGTTGTTTATCTTTTCATACAATTCAGGGTGTCGTGAGAACACTATCATGATGAATTCATCCATGATTACCGACAACAAGTGAATATTTCAAACTGAAAATGGTCGATTTTCCAAGCAAAAGTAACTAGGACATATATACTCGTTACTGAAGCATATGACACTACAATTATAGGCATATAAGATATGAGATGCAAGGGTATGTATGCATTTTATGCAAGTATGCAAGTATGTGCTTCAGATACAAACACCAACATTCAAGGTATGAATGATAGTTGCTTAGGTATTATCTATGTAGTAGCAAGTATGCTTGAATCTAGTTAATTTCAGTAAATCATTTGACGGTGGAGCCAATTCACGAACTTGATGAGAGTAATTCCTCTAGCTCTGATGGAAAAGTTTGTGCATGGTACATTTATATTCAACAACTCATGCCATATTTTTCAATAGGAAGACCACAAAGCATGTATGAATAACAACCAACATAATTTAACTAAGTATTTTATGTCTTGTTTATCGATCTATAGTAAATATGTGTTGTTTACCTTTACATATAGTTCTAGGATTCTCGAGAAAACTATAATGATGAATTCATCTATGATTGCCGACACAATTGAATGTTTCAAATTGAAAATGATCGGTTTTCAAGCACAAGTTACCAGAGCATAAATACTCGTTACCAGAACATATGAAATTGTATTACATGTAAGTAAAAACTACTTAAGGGTAGTTGATATATAATGAAGGTATGTAAAAATGTGTTCTGGGTACGAGCATTGACAATCAAGGTATGGTTGCTTAGGTAGTATTTATATACTAGCAAGTATCTTTGAATGTGGTCGACTTCGGTCAATCCCTTGTCGGATGAGGCAATTAAGAAACTTGGTGAAAGCATTTCTTCTATTAGAAATTCTTCACTCCATTCGTGGTTGAGAGAAATGGCAGCGACTAGGAGAGCATAAACCTTTGCAGCACATGTATATAATTTTCTTTCTCAGTGCACCATTAATGTACTTAAGTATCCGTGAATACACTTTTGTTCATTGCAAACATTACTTCAACCATTGCAAGGTCTTGTAATGAATTAGTTAATTCCAATTTAAAAGTCGTATGCATAACTTTTCTGGTTGGTTGTTGTCTTCGTACAAGGATAGTATTCCTAACTAATAGGTAACATTTATATGAGCATATATATGTAGTTTGAAGGTATTTCGTTCTAATTAGATAGGTACATCGATCCGTTGTGGAGGTACAACATATGCATTATTGCAATTCTAACCATGTGTACAATTAATCATACAATCATTTATGGCACAATTCATAGCATTACTACAAACATTAAGTTTTACCAAATTTAACCTACAATTCAATTTATCAATCAATCTTAATACAATTCCATCAAATATGAGGCAAATCAAACCAATTTAACCAATAATTCAATTAGAAAATAACACATTAACCAAATCAAGTACGAATAACACAACCAAAATCAATCCCAAATCTATCCAAATTCATTACAGACATTCACATACCCTGTGCTGCTCATCAGAGTCTACGATTCAGAGTGCGGACCTTTCATTATTCTAGGCGCAATTTTACTGTGGTAGCTCTTCACATTATCAAACTCACCGTCGATGCCACAAATGGGATGGACTACCGGATTCGTGCGGGCGTAATACTTGCTAAACATGCAGACCAAAGGACCACAATCGAGAGTATCACCT